CAAATATGTTTTGGTATAATTCCCAGATTCACTATTAAAAAGAACTTCCATGTGAAGCAGGTGTAACTTCTTGGCAGAATTCCATATTAAACCTTTATACTCTTGCATTTCAGACACCCAGGCTGTGCAGTGCAGTCTCCTAGGTTTCATCTCCATTCAGGTGACAAAGAGGGCTTTTGTGGAGTCACTAGGCTGGCTGTATAAAGACATGGCGTTTCCTGTGCATACTAATGAAGAAGCCTCAGATACATGTCAACGCTCCTGCGTGCTTATTGATGCTGAGCTAGACTAGCTTTGATCTCACTGCCTTGGAACGACCACTGCTGTTTTTCACCCACCCATCGTGTTGCATTCAGGGACAGGCCATGAAGCATTCAGGTGTCAGCCTAAAGGTGTGGGTATGTGTGAGTAAAAAGCAGAAAGTCTGAACAAGTACTGGCAACCGCACTGGTTACCCAACAGCCCTAGGCTCCACTTCCTGCCACTGAAACCTCAATGTTTACCAAAGAAAGTTAGTGAAAAATGTGAGCTTAACATTCATAGCTGGTGACATGTAGCTTTGCAAAGATAAATTAAGTGTATTTATCAAGTTATTTTGACCTTGTGTTTTGGTTTACACATAGAGGGACAGAAGGTTGAAATGTCACATAGCAATCTATGATCAAAATATTTTCCCTTCATTGCTTAACTTCCTTCTTTACTGTGACTAACCACATTGAGTCTGTGCTTATGTAAGAGGTGTACAGGAGTAATGCCCTACTGAATGTGATGCAACAATCATGAGAGGGGAACAGATATATCATACAAACCTCTGCAGAACGTCTCTGCATGATCGTTGTCACGAGGTTCAAGGTTTGTTAATAGAAGAGATCACATCAAAAAATCTCTTTAAGTACAGGTGGCCTGTGGCAGTTTGATTCTATTTCCAACCAGTGCATAGGTCTACTGTTGTTGTGCCCTTTGGCAAGACCCCCTAAAATGTTGGTGGAATTGATATTTGTTAAAGGAGCTGCAGTTATATATTAGCAGTGGATAGAGTGGGAACTCTGGAGTTCTGGAAATGTTATTTTACAATATACAACGATGAATTTCTATTATTATTTCCCCCTGGGTGCATCTGTTATTCTTTTTACATTAATAAGACAATCCTTCAACTTGACCAAGATGCTGGCATTGTGGATTTAATGCATAAAAACACATGTTTTTGTCATAATTGTCACCAATAGTCATATAATTATATAATTACCATCATTTGATGCTCATTCTAGCAGCCACTTTGCAATTTTGATCTTAAAGATTTAGAAACATTGCAGTCCTCTGTATTTTTTTCCTGTAGTTGTTAACAAATTATGAATAAACAAAATGCTGAAAATACAATTATGAATAATCAAGACCATGTGGTTCTGCTTTATTAAATATATTTGTGTGGAATCAGGGCTAATTAAAAGTAATTTCAGATAAGACTTTTGATCTTGTGTGGTTCTGGTAAACATGTAATGACCACTACACATCCTCTTTTACCAGATGTGACATAAATAACACTAAATAAACATGTAGCCACTTCAATAGGAGCATTGGCTTTGCCATTTATTTGTATGTGATGGAGCGTTCGACTTGACATGATGGAGTTGTAGAAGTAGGCAGAGACAGAGAATTTAGCATCTATGAATGTCTCTGTTTGTCAATGTCATATGTTTATATTTATCGATAATGTTCCCATGGCAACATAAGTAAACAAGCCCTTGTTTGATGTGAAAGTGCATGGTGTTCGATGTGTGGTTTCTGTAGGAGGATGTGTTTAACCAAAGCTGACGATGAAAACCACCACTGTTGACAAGAATAAAGTGACATCTGCCACTTCTGTTTATCGGCACTGAAGTAAATATCAGTTTCCACAGAAACCTATCACTGATCTCATCATTTCCACTCAAAATGCAAAACCTGACGCAAGCACAGTTCAGGTTTAAACACATAGATTTAAAGGTCCACTGTATAACTTGTCAGGTGGAGAGTCTGCGAACTGCTTGTCTCCATGGAGATGTTGTTGCTTTGTCTATAATGTCCCATTGTGGCATTAAACATATCCATCTTGCATTTACCCAATAACATGAGTTGGTATTGACCTAAAAACTTTAATGCTCGCTCCACAGATCTGACATGTTACTTGGCCCTGTGGTGTCTCCTGCTGTCTCCATAGAGATAAACAAGAGTAATATCATATTGTGGAACATTCCAGGCAGTATCTCCATGGAGACGCAGATGATTGATCCTCCACCTGAAAAGTTACACACTGCACCTTTAAGATTTGCATGCAGAAAGAAATCCTTCACAATTGTAACTTTCTTTTCTTTCAGTAATGGTTTAAAGCCATAGAATCTTCCTGGAATAAATCTACATGTTAGGGATGTAACAGTAACCAAAATATCATGATATCGTATCGTCAAAAGTCTTGCAATAACACCGTGGGCTATCACAATAGATCAAATTACAAAATCCTTGGCTTAAATGCATGATTTTATAATAGCAATAGCTAATAAACATCGGGAACTACATTTCCCATGATTAATTTCAGTGCAGACAACATGAAGAAATATGTTTTTTTCTTGAATTCTTGGGATTATGATGGTAATAATTCACATCAAAATCGTGTCAGGGTATTTTAAAAGCAAAAAAAATGTCTTATCTACAATTATATCAGCCTCTCCAAAATATTTAAATAACTATTACATCTTTACTACATGTTATTCCTGTGTTTATTTGTGTTAGATGTTAGCAGTTGCAGCTTCTCTACTGCTATACTCCTTCATGTAAAGTCATTTCGGTAACATATTTTTGTGAAGGTGATTTGCATTCTCAAAATCTAAGTTTGACTTTAATGGTTCTTTAAGAGGGTCAGCAGAGGACTTGCCTGTAATGCTGACTCCAGGCTAAAGCCATACAGCTACTGCTAATACACTCATTGACCTCATCATTTGCTCTTGTCCTTAAGCTGTGAAGTTGGAGGTAATCCAAATTGAGCAATTCTTTTAAAATGTTCCACGCATTAAAGTATAACAACTGTACTTTAGTTATAAGTGAGCTCTGTTTGGTTTATTCGGAGATGACGTCTTCAAGCCAAACAAGACGAGACACAGTGCACTTCTGTCTGCTCTTATGTCTGAGGAAAAGGCTAAAGTATTGATTGTGTTCCTGGCTGTGTACAGGTCATGGGGTTAGCTGTTTGTTTATGAGTTCTAAGGGAGAGTCATGAGACAGGGTTTGTCCCTGAAGCGCTGCCACTGTTTAATGTCTGAGCAAGTATCAGAGATTGCATTTTATTGGTTTTCTGCTTAAATAAAGACATTTCTACTCTTGGATTGTTTACCCAAGATGCCAGAATGGTCTGTACTATTTAAGGTTAGACGCTGAAGTGAAATTAAGTTTGAGTTTGCTTTCTTTATTTAGAGGTTTAATTGAAGAATGTGAGGGAACTGTCAATGAAACAGATTGTACCACTGGATTTGTTAGTCCTCGCAACGACCATAGATGGACTGGTAAGAGATGTGAAACTGGAAACTAAATTCCCATGCCAGAGATGCTGCCAAAACCTTCACTGTACCTTAGAACTTGGCAGTTTGAACTCACCAATTGGTGCCAAGTCTTTTTTTTTTTTTTTTTTTTTTTTATGACGTTAATAAGGAAATCAAAACTGACATTGAATTATGTAAAAAAATAAAAATAATGGAAATGAGTTTGAATTTATGTGTTTTTCCAATTTTCCAAGAAACTAGAGAAGTGTTAACCAAACCCTTTTCTCACAATAAAGAAAAAGTTTGGGCCACTTCTGACCACCATTAATCACACATACATCACATTCATATATATAGGCAACATTTGTATAGTGTCTTGCCTAACCATATAACAACTCTAATTTCTCTAAGGCCCCATCCACACTAGTTCGTATTCAAGTTATTTTCCTTGCGGATGCAGTGTTCGCCCACACTAATCCAATGGAAAATGGCTCCAGAGACAGAACGATCTGGTGCTGCCAGCTCCCACGAATTCATCTGAGTACAGACCTGATCCCGCACTGTGAGGATGCCTGAAAACGCTGATACGCTGATGTAGGTCTATGTAATTCACCGCCAAAACACTAAGAGGCTAGAATATCCATTCAAATATACGGTCTATGCGTATGACCTGCAGACGTATAATCTCTGAAAAATGTAATATGAATCATCTCCAATGCGATAGAAGCACAGAACAGACTCACCATTAGTAGAACACCCCTCTGTCACAGAGAGAACACATCTAATCCAGAGTCGTGTCCTTTAGTCCATCTGAAGCTGAACTGCATCAGTGCACAATAGTGAGCTGTTTTTTGAGTGCTCACTTTATGCGAATTAGCCATGCGGTTTTAAGTTTAATTTCTGTAAAACGTAAACAAATATGCTCAAAGCTGTGTGGATGGGGAAGACTTGCGGACACAGAAACGACATGTCTGGACACAAATTGTTTTCCATGCAATTCTTTTCAGTGTAAACATAACCTAAGTGGAGTTTGAACCATAAACTGCATAAAGAAATGGACTGAGGGAGTGTGACGTCACCCCTAGTATCGGCTCCAGTCAAATGAAGCTCACAAGGCTAGCAGTTTGAAGCATTATTTATGGCTGAATTCCACATTAGGAATGGGACAACAACACCAGGCTCATGTAGAGTGGGTTAATATGAACATTTTAAGACCAAAATGACGAGGTTCACTGCAGCAGTTACAGAGAGAGGGGTGACAATTTTCGATGGAGCTGGAAACACCCCCATGCCCCCACAGTCTACGGTTTGAACTCCAACACTAATTTGGTTTGGTCACTTCTAGTTGTATGAAAAAATGAAAAAAAAAAAGCTCCCAGATCACAAGAGCCAGTTAGTTCAATGGGTTCTGTTGGTTCTACTGATTAACTCTATGGTTCCTCCTGTGTCATATGTTGTGTATAACCTATTGCGTGTTTTCCTCTTCCACAGTGAATGCTCGCAGTTGCAGTTATGCCGGGGTGTTTCTGATCGAGGGGGGGGGCCGCCACACGCTCAACTTTCAGAAGGCAATGGAGGCCTGTGATCAGCTGGGCGCCTCCATGGCCAGTCCAGAGCAAGTACAGGAGGCCTATAACAAAAACATGGAGACATGCAGGTGACAGCGCAAAGATACAAACACACAAACTCACACACAGATACAAAGATGTCATAAAGTTGAAGTACTATTACCTCTAAACGCTATTGCTCAGGTTGATATAAAAGTAGTTATCCAAATAATTACAGAATATAAAATAAATTATACTATTTCTATGCAACAAGACACCCATGTCTGACACCAGCATAGCAAAGTAAAAGTAGTAAAGCACTGTAGTTAAGTATGAATTAATATCTATCTGTTCTTTACTTAAGCACATTTTAAAGTTGATACTTTTTACTTTTACTTTCACAACATCTGAGAGCAGGTATCTGTACTTTCTAATCTTGAACTGATCTGAAAAGTATGAGACTTGCTGAAATGCCTGGGGAGTTATTTTAATTGCGTTCTCAGTTTGAGCAAACAAAAATATACAAATTAAAACAGCGAGGAAAAAACTATCAATTCAGTTGTTTCTGTTGAACAAAAGTAGATTTTGTCATGCAATACTTTTATTTTTACTTGACTCCTTTTTGTTATGGTGTATGTACATTTACTAACATGCACTAGCAAGGACCACGCCAACAATGACATAGTGTGAAGAAGAAGTTTATTGATAATGTATCAGGCGGAGCGGAGATGACTGGGTTGAGACTCTGGGTGTGGGCTCCGTCTCATTCTGCATTTGGCCCAGCCGGAACAGGACCCCCTCGTAGGCGTCTTAAGGCTGAAAGACAAACAAGTTAGACGAGTTAGCTGAGACAAACTGGGATGATGGGAATGACTGCTACAAATAATTTTAGAGGTGTGGTCGAAGTGAGTTGTGGTTCACTGATGAGGAAGAGAGGCCTGTTGGGGTGTGGTCCTGCTCCTGAATCTCAGTTAATCATATTAATTCCAAAAGCTGAATACTTTTCCCACCACTGCTGGACACAATACTGAGGGTTACACATAGTACAGGACAAAATGATGACCAAATTAATTACAATGTCTGAATTAGTTATTAGATTATTGCAATGTCTTGTAAACAGTGAGTTGAATCCCTTGGCTTCTATTGTTTCCAGCAGTTCAGCATCTTTTTGCACTGCTAAGTTAGTGGGCATCGCTCATATTTATAATACTTTCATTTGACTACAGTTTATTTATTTAGAGAAGCAGGTTCACCCTGTGTCACTGCCAGTTTCCAAAAGGAAACTAACCACATCCGCCCACCAAAGCAAATTCTCATGATGGGTTAATCAACTAATGACTACATTTACTCAAGTGAATTAATGAGGGGATGTGGAGGGACTAATAAAAATATTCTGCTTGTGTGTTTAGACATGGCTGGATGAATAATGAGACACTGGCCATCCTCAGACACTCGTCTCATGGAAACTGTGCCAAGAACCTGACAGGCCTCATATTAACCCCAAATGTGAGTCCAGATCAGCAGTATGACGCCTACTGCTTCAACGACTCAGGTAACATTTATGCTGAATGCAATCTACACCAATGACTGTATGATCTCATGTATTACAATGTGTATCTCTATTTCAGCTGGTGAGGATATGGACTGTTCACAAGCATATTCAAATTTTGATAATCCTAGTGAAGCAGGTGAGTAATGTACATCTTTGAGTGTCTTGAAAAGCCTTATATAGGGCTACATATATTTAAAAAGTATCTAATTTAAGGGGACAATTCAAAATGTTGGACATTGGACCTCATTGAGTAGTTAGTCAGAGTGTTGGAGACATGTGGAGACACTTTTAAAAAAAATATTACGTCCAGTCCTTGTATTTGCAGAGGTCGCTGGTGCTAGACTAGTGCATGTCAATGGCCATAGTTAGCCTGTCACTAAAAACAGTCTTACCCACAGCAAAACAATTATAACGCCAGACTGTCGGTGTGAACGTCTGTGTCGATAGAATAATTTTAGAAGTAAAACAAACCTTGCATCTGAAGGATTTATGTCTCAGTAGCAGCAATTTGTACTACCTGATTAGAAAGCTTGGTAACAGCGGACTGATATATGAAAAGATAGTCCCCCAGCATGCGACAATTCATGAGATGCAAGATTAGTTTCATTTCAGACATTATTCTATTAATGCAGACATTTACATCGACAGTCTGACGTAATAATCGATTTCCTTCGGGTGTTTTGTGGAGTGGGTAAGACAGTTTTTAGTGGAAATACAAGGGCTGGATGGAATATTTCAAAAAAAGTGTCTCCACATATCTCCAACACTCTGGCTAACTAGGAAATGAGGACCTATGTCCAAAATTCCAAATTGTCCCTTTAAGGAGTACTATGCTACTGGTGGCTGTCATCTACCGTTTACTTGTTTTCGTGGAGAGGTTGTTGCTTGGCACACTCCAGTTTACACAGTGCACCATTATAATGCCTCAGTGTGTGGAGTTTGCATGTTCTTCTCGTGTCTGGTCGGGTTTTCTCTTGGTGCACAATAAGATCAAACAAGACATGTCCCTTGACTCTGCTTTGCTCTCACCCAACTTTGAGTATGGGTCAAATGCAGAACATTTTTTTTTCTAAATTTGTCAAAAGGACCTCAATAAAACTGTGTGGAAAGCTTGTCAGCACATTATTCCTAGCTTATTAACTTATATCAACAAGACAACGACAGCATTTTTGGTGTTGGTTTCTTTCCTTTGCAACTAAATTTTATAATAATACAATCAGACAGTGCAAGATTGTGTCCTTCATGACTCATTACTGTATTCCCCTAATTATATGACTAAGAAATTTAAGCAAACATCTCTGACACATCTAATTGTATGGAAGAAAACCCTCTACTTTTATCAGATTAAAATAATGAAAGTAATTTTGTGTATAATTCTCTTCCCACGCAGGAGAATTATCAACTCCTCCAGACACAGAGTCAGAGATCCCAACTTCAGTGGAAAGTGACTTGGAGACTGTGACCGTAACCCAATTGGACAAAGTGACAGAAGGCGAAGAACGTACGATTAGTCCTGAAGAGGATAAGGAAACCTACACAACAGCAACGGACGTAGATGAATCTCCAGATGTGGTTCCAGTGGAGAACATCACTCTCACCCCGGAAACAGGCTCTGGGATGCAGCCTACTGGAGCAGAGGAGGAGACGGAGTCCTTCACCACCGCCCTCGTGTCGGACAAGCCAGAGTGCAACACAAGGCCAGGAGAGCATGACGAGAGAGACACGGAAAACGAATCCAAAGGGGAATCCACTGAAAGTAAGATCTACTAGTAATTAAGTGTGTGCAAAAATATCAAAATATCAATATATCGTGATTCTAAATTTGGTGATACAGTATCGTCATTGTTGGATGCTGTATCAGTATATCACCAATAGTATTTTCTGGTATCTTTTTGCAATTTTTGGAGAATTTTGTTGCTTATTTCATGAAAGGAAACTTGTTTATGTATTTCATATTAACTTGATGTGGCAGCACAGTGGTCGAGTGGCCTTAAGCCTCACAGCAAGAAGGTTTCTTGTTCAATCCCCAGGTCGTCCGGGCCTTTCTGTGTGGAGATTGCATGTTTCTCCCTGTGTCTGGATGGGTTTCATCTGGGCACTCCAGTTTCCTCCATCAACCCAAAACATGCTACACAGGTCTCCAGGAAGAATAGCTGATATCTAATTAAGGTCAATTAAATACAATTAATTAAAATACAATCAAAAATTTGCACAAGAAGTGGTTTGACATAGAACTATTTGGTTCTTTAAAAACTGAAAAATATCACAGAAAATCATGTGCAATATTTCAACTATCACATATTTTGCCATATCGTGATCATATTGCTCAGAGTAGAGCCGCTGCTCCTCCATGTCGAGAGGAGCCAGTTGCAGTGGCTCAGGCATCTCTTCAGGATGCCTCCTGGACGTCTCCCTTGAGAGGTGTTCCATGCATGTCCCACCGGAAGGAGGCTCTGGGGAAGACCCAGGACACACTGGAGGGACTATGTCTCTCAGCTGGCCTGGAAACACCTTGGGGTTCCCCTGGAGGAGCTGGAGGAAGTGTTTGGGGTGAGGGAAGTCTGGGAGTCCCTGCTTAGACTGCTGCCCCTTTGACTTGTCCCCAGATAAGCGGAAGAAAATGGATGGATGGTGATATTATTGTGTCGTGTATCGTGTATCAAACTGAATCGTGAGGGACCCTGTGATTCTGAGCTCTACTAGTAATTATGAGATCAAATTCCAGAAAAACACACAGGCAGCTACAGCCATTCAAACTGAATTACAATTTGAATGCTTTGAATTTGAGTATCACTAAATCTAAAACAGGAACTTTATTCATACTTTCCAGTGACATCACACTTGGGGAGTTCTACATGTATCTCTAATGGTGAAATGTTTACCATGTTGAGTTACCATGGTGACACAATGCACACAGTAGCAAACACCGTCAAAAAAAAGTTTTAAGACTGAAAAGTCAAGAAAACATTCAAATAGATTAAAACAACATATTTTAAAAGTAAAAATCAGCTCACGTTGCAGTTTCACCAAAACTCAGATTTAAGTGTAACTTGAGTCACAGAGGTTTAGACAGAGCAGTGCCTACGTTTATCTTCACACCCTCAGGAAATGTTGACGACATCAGCTGCAAAGTATCATCACAAACAAAACTGTGACTTAGTTTGAGGACAAGAACTAATCCAAAGGAAGACAAAAGTGTGAATGACATTGCGATCCCATACAGTCCAATACAGTGAATGACTACACATTGATATAAATAGTACATTCTATTACTTGCAAAAATAAAATAACTAATAATATAATCACTTTCCAACATTTCTGTAGAGAGTTACCAAATAGGCCTACTTCCTCTTGTAAATATACTGTTGCTATGGAGTTACCAGTGTTTGTCCCTAACTAAACACAGTGCATAATTCAGCTGGTGATTTGTTCTCACACAGACTGAGAAGCAACAGGTTTTGGGAGGACAGAAGACGCCCCCTTGTGTTTGTCTGGGTAGTACGCATTTGAAAACTGAAGCCTCTTTTTATTGCTCTTAGAAAAGTCAGAGAGACGGACTTGCTTTTGCTTTAAAACAACTGTAGCATTAAATAAAAACAAAAATAAAAATAAAAACTAGGATGCAGTAGCTCAGTATTTTATGGTATAAATAGACACTGTATATTGAACCTACATGCACATAGAAGTACTTTAAATGCCCATATTAAGCTATTTTCTTTATTATAATGCTATTTCCTCATTGAAGAAATACCTTGAGTTGTGTTTTGTTTCATTCACACGTTTAACACACAAATCCTGCATATTCATGAATATTTTTTCTCTCAAATGGAAAACACTCCACCATTTTTCCACCTTGTGATGTCATGTGGTAATACAGGAATTGCTCCACTGTGCTTTTAAACATCATACACCTTCACTAGAATCATGTGGATAATTTCAGCCCTGGAATTTAACATCTCATTTGAATAATAAGTAAAAGTATATGTTAACTTGAAAACTACCACTAAATAATTTCACAAAGCGGAATGGAGCATTTTGAGCTTTGGAGATCGACTCATAATAAATTATTCCTCAAATATGTGTGAATGAAACAAAACACAACTCCAGGTATGTTTTTGAGGAGGTAAGCGCATTATAACATGGTTTAAAGCTCACAAGAGTCAATTTTGTGTAACCTTTTCATAATCACATGTCTGAAAGGAAGCAAGGTTGGTGAAGTATTTTGCTTGAAGGCACAATATTAAATTATTAGAATTAAACCATCAAATTAGTAGATAAATGTCTCTCCTAACTCTTCTACTCCGCATACTGTGTAACAATGCAATTATAAATTAAAGTATTTCATTATTTTGTTTTCAGTTATTCCTGGAAGCCGCTCGAACTCAGTGCTGGACGACGGCGCCCACCACGACTCACGAGAGAATGGGAGCACATCCAGTAAGTATTCAATATGACAACTTCAATAGACAAAAGAAAACAAATATCTATCCCCCAACACACATTTTAGCTCCACTGTACTGGCCATAAATCGTCCGCTCCCTCTCCCACAGACTGGCTGGTGATACTGTGCGTGATTGTGGCGGTGGCGGCCATTCTCCTGGTGTGTGCAGTGGTGGCCAAGAGGAACACGTAAGGACTCGCAGCGCTGTCATGTTTCTTTGTTATATACCGTAAATACTGGTCTAGAGGGGCATTGTGTTTTTTTATGTTCCTCCAGAGGTAACAACAAATCAGTTTGTAAACACTAAATCCAGGCCTCAGATGGCAAAAGTGGTCAGTTGACATTTTATTGTAGGAAAGAGCAAAAGTGGCCGTTGCTGACATTTTGAAAGGGTGAATTAGTGTCTGTGGGATAGTGGCTACTTGGAGCAATTAAACGGCCTGTATCTGATTTTGAACCACGAGTCAGGAACATGTTTTACCTGCAGCTGACTGGAGGAAAACCTGGTGTCCCTGTTACTGTCAAAATCCCTTGAAAATTTCATAAATTATGTCTTTAAGTCTCATCTGTTCCCACTTTTACAATATACTGCATAATATAAAAGAAGATATTTAAATCAGATACAAGTACTTTAAGTCAATGGGTGTACAAATAATGTAACAGTGAAATTATTAGTTTTAAATACAAACATTTATAAATATAAACATTTTGTCTGTAAAAGATGAATCCATTAAGTAAAAGCAGGACCATTTAGCTCAGGGCACAAAGCAAAAATCTAGTCATTCTTCAGATGACCCACAAACCTGCCACTCTATGTTTAAACTTAATGAGAAAAAGGGAAAAGTGCATTTTTACATTTACTAGTATTTCTTTTATATAAACTGCACATTTAATTTATTTATTTTTGTCATTCATAAAGTATAAAAAGACATCAACTGTGTCACAACATCAAATATATAAGAAATGAAAGAAAAGGAGCATAAAGAAGAGTAATCTTATGATATCTGCCCTCTTTTCCCTTTTCCAGACAAAACATCAGCATTTATAGTTACTTTAAAACATTTCAAATCAGTACATTTCAGTTCAGGCCCAATTTTTAATCAATTGCAAACAGAAATCTTCACTATTATGCACAACAATTTAGTTTCCTTTTTCATACATACACATTGCATTTTATTTTATGTGTTTTATAGATGCCATCATTGTAGTTGATTCTTTTATATCTTAGTCAACACTTTTCCATAAATTAACTTCTTTCATAGTAATGCTTCGCTCCATAACCTTGGTTCTGAATCTGGGTTTTTTAAACATGTAGGTTTCTTTTAAATTGTAGTGGCTTTTTCTCGTCTCAAACAGTTTTTGAATATTTACAGCATGCATTCAGCAATATTTTTAAAGGGTTCATCTTGTACTGTTTTCTGATCTATGTTCTAATGTTGTTTCCTCATCACAAGCATATCTGGAGTTGTGTTTTGTTTCATTTACACATGTTTAACACACAAACCTTGCATGTTTACGCTGAATAAATCTTCTCTCAAACAGAAAATACATTGTTCCACCTTGTGATACAGGAAGTGCTCCATTATGTTTTTTATACTCCATATAAATTCACTAGAATTATTTTGATCATTTCACTCCTGGAAATGCCAGTCTCTACTGAATCTGAAGGTAGCTGGTAATGTCAAAACTGCAGCTTCATGACATCACTAGGTGGACCAGAGTGTTTTGAGCTTTGGAGATGTAGACAGACTGATAATAAACAGTTATGCAAGCATGTGTGAATGAAACAAAACACAACTCCAGTTATGTTTCTGAGGAGGTAACGACATTCTTACATGGCTTAAAAATCTATTTCACATAATATAGGGCCCTTAAGTCTTGCTCATAGACACAACAAGAATATCCAACTCCTCCTTCTTCTGGTGAGCCACCTTTACAAAAAGAAAATGCTAAAGAGCTACTCGTTTTAGCAGTAGGGCAACCGGATTTTCAAAATTCTAAACTGGGAAACACCCGGATTGAGATGGCTGGTAAAAATAAAACTGTGAAAAGAGTGTGCAACATAATCTGAGGGACTTCTGACACTTAATTTTTTTTGCTATGTCATTGTCTGTATTTTGGCTAAACAAATGATAATATATGCTCCTCTTTATAGTTGGCAAGGATCTGATTAGTCAAAAATTGTGATAGTCCTGGTTTAGACTTGATGTAGTGCTGGTTTAGTCTTAATTTAGTCCCGGTTTAGAGGAAATTGGTCAAAAATAGGGACACCAGGGACATTTTGTGTATAAAACTGGGACAAATCACTGGTTTTGTATAAATTTGCTGGGACAGGGGACACAGGACTCAAAACTGGGACTGTCCCGGGTAAATAAACTCCTCTGGCCTATTTAACGGTCACAAGAAACTGAGCATAGGAAATCCTTAGATGGGAAACAGCTAGATATACTTATAAAACATAAACTTTTATCCATTTATTAGTGCACAAAGTTAGGTAGTAGTAATTAGTTAATTCAGAAATCCCTTGGCGAGCTATTTGGAAGAGGGTGGAGAGCTACTGGTAGCTTCTGAACTACAGGTTGGAGACTCCTGTCCTATAGTGATCAGAAAAGAAACAAAAACAAGTCTAACATCAAGCATTCTGCCCCCTACAGCTTGTGCGGGAAAAAGCAGACTCTCATGATCACCAAAGAAGGCGGCGAGGGCAACGGCACGGCCATGTCCGCCTCCAGCTCACACGCCCAGGAGAGAGAGCAGGAGATGGTCACGCTCATGAACAAGGAGAAGATCCAGGAGAACGGAAACACGGAGGAGTTCACCGTCATCACGCTAGAGGAGTCTCCAGACAAGGACCAGACCGCCTGAAATTTACAGTCGACGCCAGGGCTGGGGTCTGTTTCGTCGTGAGGGGGGCATTTGGTGATCAGCACTGAATGACTGAAGTTGGATGGAGTGTGTAAATTGGTCCGAAAGCCTCACTATGGGACTGCTAATTTGAGTGGTGATGTCAAAAAAACGTCATGAATTGTCGGATTGCTTTGAATGCATCAGTAGAGGGATGTGCTATGAATGTGTAGTGTGTTATTTGTGTTTATTATTACCATGGTGATAAAAAGGAATGGTCAAAAATTAAGACAGTTTAAAAAAAAATCTAATATGGGACCAAACAAATGACTTTTAACAATTCTTTCATCGTCTTTTGTCTATTTTGTAGCTGTATATGCCCTGACTTGACCTGTGGATTTGAACGCTCTATATCTTAATTTATGCCATTTTCTGAACTCCCTTTTCCCCATTTTGTATATAAAGTGAAATGTAAATGAGATGCCTTAGCAATAACCGCCAGCTGTGCTTTTGTTTGGTAGAGAATCCCTTTCAAACCAAGGAATGTGTCACTTTGGTAAACTTATTTAATTAGAAGTAGCAGTGGAGGTTGGATTTCGCAATAGTTGAAGTGAATTGCAATCATGTTTGTATCACGTTCAAAACTGTGCAACTCAAGCACCTTCTATGTCCAGTCCATGGCATAACAATATTGTATTATTTAAAACAAAGTCTATGTTTCCCAATGTGAACCAATGGTGATCAAGGTAGTACAATCTGTCTGTACAAATCAAAGAAAGCATGTTAGCTTGATTTTATTGTTGCCTAATCGATTTGTGTTATGTAAATGATCTAGTCTTTTATTTTGAAGGTGGTGGGTGATATAAGCATATGTTTGTAACTTATTCATTGCAGTGGGCAGTGATTATCCAGCTTGGAGGAGCAGAGGTAATGACACAATTTTCATTTTAAAAGTGAATTAATGTATTATGTCCTTGAAGTAAATTGAAAATCCAATTACAATCATATAAATGTGGCCATCAAAACCAAAATGTGGGAAAAGTGAAATCTCTTCCGTGTGCAAGTGTCCAAAACTGTGTCTAAAAACAGTGTTTAAAGTGCTCATTATGTTTAACATTTCTGCAAAACAATTTACTTGTATTCCCAATTTGCCAGTGTACGCAGAAAGTGTGACAAATTTAAGAAAACAACTTTATTTGTTGAAATCATGTTTAAAGTATTAAAAAAAATGTGTTTCTTATGAGTAAACTGTGCTGAACTTTTGGATAAAATAAGTATGTCTCTTTACTTCCTGTAATTTTCAACATATTTAAACTTTTTCTTTGTAAATTGCTTTTTGATTGGTGTAAAACTATAATTTACAACACTTATAATCCCACCAAATTAAGTCAAAATTAGAGAATTATAAAAATCTGTTTTACACACTTTAAGATACAAACAACTATAAGCCAAAAATGCTCCCAAACTTATGAGAAATTGCACTTTTATTGGTAGACCATCAAAAAAATCCAGGACACGGACTCAGTTGTAGCAGTGTTTTCTCAAAAGTTGCATGATGTTGCATAATACTATCACTGACAACTTATCGGAAGGATGAATATAAGTTAGCACAACAGATACTGTTATGAAAAGTTGTGTCAAGTCTCTTCTCTGCTCCTCTTAACCGGTAACTCACTACTGACTGTCATTTCTACTGTAGTTACATTCTCCCAAAACACTGGACTGTCCCTTTAAGATATTTCTCAAGCAGTGAGTGACAGCGGTTTGGCTTTGGATACAACCGGCCCCAATGATAATGAGGGGCCCCTGTGCTGTACATAGAGCAAAGTCCAGGGCTGCTTCAAAAGAAAGACTGATCCCGTCTATGTGTGCGATCACCCCACGGACTCTCCCTCCCGCTCAATGAAAGACGCTTGTATACTCGCACGCCCGACTATACGCCAATCACTTTCACACATGCAAAAAACAAAACATCCCCACTGATTTTACCATACATCGTGTCATATGAAATACTCCATAGACTTGTTTGTAAAGCTTTTGCATTTGACCCTAAGAGGAAGTAGCAGATGTTTTAGTGTGGGCAGCTTTTATAGGTTTTAAAGAGTCAGAGTTGTCACTGAAAAAAAAAAAAAAAAAGATTTGTAAAGATCCCAATGAAATAAATGTGTAATGGAGGTTGTTGAGTCGTGGATCATTGGGGGACAAAGAGTGGACAGTGGTGTGAATGCTGTGTGTTTTGGGAGGGGTGACGGGGGCTTGTGAATGGATGCACTCGGTACACATCGGCGGAAGTGGGGTTGCCATGGAGCTCGGCTGGTGATGCAAGAGCATGTCGAGCGCGGAAACAAAGGCGGCCATTTTGAAAGATAAAAATGGCACTCTTCCATGCAATATTTAACCAGGACTTCACTCGATCTGTCTTCTTTCACTGGATGAATTCCCACAACTATTGGCCCATTTGAATGAATCAGGCTTGGTAATAAGACTCTATCCCATAAAACGTGGCAGTTCCCATCCTTCCAGCTGTCCATCTTCTTCCCAAATCTGTTATAATTATTGTAATATATATGCAATTATATTCAGGACTCAAAACATTTTAAATCTGTCTCCAATTTGTTCTCTACATTTGACCCATTCTTTAGCCTAATTGAGTAACCTGAGCTGTTCTTTACAGAAGAAGTGGTTGTCACTGCCCACAAGCTCAGATCTTGAGTCATATCCTGGAACCCCTTAGCTACATAAAATACACCACAATATTTAAATCACACCGTACAAGCCTCCTGGGATGAGATGAGAGGACTAACCCCTATGCCACCAGTTCTGAACATCATTTGCTGAAAGTTTTCTTGATGAATTATCTTTTACTAAGCAGCAACTTCATGTATGTGGTTGCACTGTTCAGTTTCCATATCACATCAGCTCAATATCTCTTTGATTGGAATGTCCTCCCTGCACATTCTCTTTCAACACAGATCCCTCAAACTGCCATAAAAAATAATAATACTACAGCATATCAGATGGTAAGAGTCAATTACTGTATGACTTTTCTTTATAATATTGTATTAAGTGTGAAAGAAACAAGACAAAATTGACCAAAAGCCAAGAGTTAGTTATGAATTGACATTTATTAGTTTTATTTGTATATATGTACACCAAAGGTACAGCACATTTTGATATGTAGAAACAGATTTATGTATAACATAGACAGAGGAAAGGATTCATGATTTTTTTTTTCTTTTTTATTATTTTTTCACCCGAAACATACGCTCCGCTTCAACATCAAAAGGACAACTCCAGCTTTACAAAGAGGCGTAGAAGGGCCACAGGGGGCTGCCTTCAGCCTGGTCTGAGGAGAGACTACCTCCCTCGGAAACTTCATTGAAGCGTTAGCATTTAGCTCCAGGCTGTGTGCATATTTCTATTGTGTCAAAGGCAAGAGGAGGAAAGCAGTGGGATTTTATGAGAGACAGTGTCTGACAAAGCGTCAATGGTGTGAATGCACAATGCTGCCTGAGACTAAAGCCAGCGCTTATTGGCGAGGAGATGATCTGATGAATCACCTGAGGAAGTCTAAATAGTGAATGAAATGGCTCTAAGCCAGGGTCACCTCCTCTGTTCTTCCACTCAAAGACCTTAAACCTCCCTCGTCCTAAACCTTCCTCTGTCTCCACACGTTCAGACAATAGCATCATGCAAACATGGTTTGCTTCACTCCAGTTTACTCTGCAACGCCACTGAACAGAACAATTATATATTTATGTATGTACAATGAAAATGAATGCACACTGATTATATCCTCATGGAACAAACATTCAAAACGCTTACATTAGATACAAAAAAGTATATATTTATATATTGATGTGTGACAGGTAAGTAAAACGACTAGTTAACAGCTACCAAAGAATAAAAAACAAGCATTTTATCACACACTTTCCTCTATACATTGCATCTAATCTAGCTTTATTCAGGACTTACTGGAGATGAATCTTCTCTAGAGGATTACATTAAAATGTCACAGCAGTGAAACTAAAATTTGTCTACACACCATTTACCTGCCCCAAAAAAGAAACCAAAATGAAAAAAGTTACCTACAATATATACACAAAGTGCAAGGAGGCACTTCAAAATATCATGCTTTTAAGATAGTGGTGCAAAAAATAACTATTCATGCTCCAAAAACCTTGTATTTGAACAAAATAGTGGTCCAACACTCAAAACCCCTTTGTGATACTGGGGCCAGCCTCCTTCCTGTAGATCTTTACATTTCTGTGCTCTGCAGCTGGTCATACTGATCATCCGAGTAATGGGGTTTATGTGCTTTAAGATGTAACAATATATTTTCAAAAAGGGCTACAGAATATGAGGCTTTAATAACTGTGTGTTTATGGATGTAAGTCACCTGGAGTTACTGAAATTAGCAATCTGAGTCAGAATATTCAAGGCAAGGTTGTCATTAGCTAAAAGAAGAAAAAACATCGCCAGAGAGGACACTACGCACTATCATTCACTCACACAGGTTTAAAAAAAAACATAAAAGCAGTAGTCCAGTGTGTTTGCAGATTTGTTCAAGCCATTTGGTGGTGAGTGAAAAGGAGTATTACCTGATAGACAGTTGGCAACATTCTGGCAAAGTCTGTGCCCTGGAGAGAGTGTTAGACTGGGCACAAAACTGCAGCATCTAGGGTTGGTCAAACAGTCTTGAGCTCTGGGCCTGCTCTACAAAGCTATGGAGCTAGTGAGGTAACTTCAGGACTAACACTGGGTTTGCCGTATCTTGAAGCTGGTTCACGTTCTATAGAGGTAGATCTAATTCACACGTAGGATGTTATGGCATGACCGTAAACACAAGCAAAATAGTGAGACTGAATGAATCATGGCTACAAAATGTGTGATTTTATGTAATTAAAGCCACGTGTTCTTTTTTTTTTTCATTTTCATTGTAGGTTCACGTTGCTGTGATTGGTCATTTACTCTGAATTTTCAGTGGCACACATAGGTAACCAGCTCCATGATTACTTGTTGCTAGCTTTATAGCGCTGGGCCCGTGTGTGGTGCTTGTATTTGTGATTGAACACTTTTGCAGTCTCCCCTGTGCTACTTGTTTGGGCGCTCTTCCGTAAATGTTCCTTGTGCTTTTCATACAAAAGTTGGTCGTTCAACCGTTGGAATGTACCGTGTGCTGTGATCAGAGCGTTTTTGCCAGTGATTTGGCACATGTCACATTTTTCCCTGTAAACTACTGTCACTAATTTGTGCTCATATATAGGCATTTGTGCTCATCTGAGCCGGTAAACACTAGAGCGTTACACTGTTTGGAGTAAACATGTAGAAGCCTGAGTCTCTCCTGGTGGGAATGTGAAGACTGATCATGGGAAGCGTGTTGTGCATGAGGGTGAGTCCGTGAGTAAGCCAAAATTAGCTCTTCTGCGTCTCATCTGATGTTGTGCTAACGTGTATCTGTACACAGACTTCTGATTTAATTTTATTACATTTCTCATTCAGGAATTGACTGGGTGCATTTGAAATTTGAGGCTTATTTTGATTCAGTTGTGCTGGCTTTTCTAAAATGCAGGCAGTGCAAAAGCCTTTTTAAGTTCACTGATTTTCTTTAAAAGTTTGGTCCTTATACAATCAAATTAGCCAAGCTCTTTAACAACATGCTACTCTTTTCTTTTTTTAGCATATACACAAAATATATTGTCCCTTTTGGAAAAATAAAATAAATCATTAAACATGAATGGGCTCCATGCCGCAGTTTGTGCTGTACTTCTAAAAGGTGCACACTGTAACTTTTCTGGAAGAGGGTCCGTCACCTGCTTGACTCCATGTGGTGTATTTTTTGTTTTGTTTTTTTGTTTTTCCTGGAATTTTCAGCAGTATCATTTAACCTTCTTCATGGTGACAAGCAAAGTTACAGGTCATATCTGTGGAGAGGCGGATCTGCTCACAGTAATAATGCATGATTTTGCAATAAAAACACTTGTAATAGAATAAATACAAGATATATTGTTTAATGTCCTGCTGTGGAACATCCCAGGCAAAGCAAGGACATCACCATGAGACAAACAGCTGGCAAACCCTCCATCGGAAAAGTTACGCAGTGCACATTTACCATACTTTCTCTATATTGTGCTTCATTTTAATTATCAGTAGCAATCTTCAGTGTAAACAACATTATTATGACAGTTAATCATACCGTAAGGTGTTAGAAGCTGGAAGCTGTGGCACATTTTGACAAACAATCTGTAACAACTTGCCATGATTAATCCTTTGCCTCCCACTTCTCATCTGCCATGGAAAATGAATCCTATCTTTAAAGTGTATGGCGTGCTCCCAGCGCCTCTCCCTTCGTGAACACGCCAAAGTGGAAATGTATTGCTAGATCTAGTATATCCATTTTATCCTGCTTGCCTAACCTGGAAGTCTGCTGTGCAAGTACCCGCTATACATGACATATTTGTGCTCTAACCTTAGGTATCAGTTAGTATCATCAGTCAGAAAGACAGTTACAAAATATCCTTTAAAGGGACTAATACAAAATAAAGTAAACATTGCTACATAAAAAAATAAAAACAAAATTAGTAGTAGTTCTGTTCGTGTGACTTGTTTCATTCACTCATATTTTTTTTCACCAGTTATGAAAAGTGGTGGAGCCCAGCAGGAGCAGGGGTTTTCTGTGCTGCCATTATTCCTGTTTCCATGGTTCCTCCTCCACGATCGTACACTCCGCAGCAGAGCCGTTTGTGGCCGAGGTTACCTGCAAGAAGTTAGCATCCACAACTAAGGCAAGATGACGCTACACAGTTCAAAATCAATGCAGTTGCTAAGCGAAAGATCCTATATAACACGAAACTGACTCTTGTGTACTTTAAGTCATGTTGTAATGTTGTTACCTCATCAAAAACAAACCTGGAGCTGCGTTTTGTTTCATTCACTTGTATGAGTAATCTTTTATTATTAGACTTTCTACATTTCCAAAGCTCAAAATGTTTTGTTCCACCTTGTGATGTGATGTGGTATAGTGGTTAACAGTTGCCTTTTACCTTTATTTCAGCAGAGGTTTGCAATTCCAGGGCTGAAATTATCCAAATGATTCTAGTGAAAGTGTAAGGATCCCATATTATCACATGATATCACAAGGTGGAACAAGTGTTTTCAGTTTGAGAAAAAGAACCCACAACTCCAGATATGCTTTTGATGAGGAAACAACATTATAACATAGATCAGAAAATAGAATCATATGGATCCTTTAAATATGCTGTACATTCCAAACTCAAAAATATTTGAATATTTGTGCATTTAACAAATGTCCATCTCAGGAGCTGCCATGGCATTCTCTTATCCCTTAGCATTTATTCTGAGTTCTAAAAATAGAGTGTTAACTAATTGTAAAGCAGAGAAGCCTTAATACATTCTTTATAGTTTGGCAACCTCAGCAGATAAAATAAATCACCAAGGTATTTATATTACAGTTAACAGGTTGGCTTATGGATAATGAGGGAGACAAATGCACAAAATGTAGACATTACAAAAATAAAAAATCCATAATACAAAAACACAATTTATAAACAGTGTTAAGACTATTAGATGAATGCATTTTACAGTCTACTTTGGGAGCAGGGTGTTAGGAATGTTCTATTTACAGGCAAAACAGAAAAGGTCATTAGTCATGCTAGGAATGGGAATAACAAGCCTTTGTGTCGTATTTATATGGAAATGCCATCCATTAATAAACGGTAGAAGAAGAAAGGAGGATATAACTTTTTCCCTGTGTGTCACTGGGGTGACAGGTTTGCCTCCGTTGCTAGGAGACACCTTTCACCCTTTAATAAATGAAAAGGCTCATCATTAGACATTTCTACTGGGATGTGAGAGAGGCCTGCAGGTCTGTGAACCACTCAAGCCTGTACAGTCTGGAATACATTCAAAGGATAGGGATTGAAAGAGCATTATGTTTTTATATTACAAGCTACTGTACTTCACAGCTTTCCATTTCACAAGTGAGTTCACACATTGTGCATAAATAGCTGGTGTGGAAACGCAAAGCCCTGACAGAAACAGTGCTTTCATACATGTATGCAGAAAATCTGAGCTGCTAATTAGTGGTTACACTATTTTTATTCATACTACACAATCTTAATCTTCGATTGTGATGACAATAAGAAGTGTCTGTATCTGTGTTGTGGCACATTTGAGGTTAAAAGAAACTGTGCCACTAAATAATTCCTCAGTCATGAAGGGGATTATCTCGCTTTGCCTTTTCCACAAAAGCCAGTTCTCAACAGGATACACTGATGGGACTGGCTTAGCATAAGTGTTTGAAGCTAAATTCCTCCTAATAGCAATCAATTTAGGCTCATGCTTTACCTTATTAACACTAATGAGACACAAAAGCTGCCATTCGTCCAAATGAAAGTACATACATGCATCAGCTGTTCATCGATTCTCATGTCTCTGAAAGATGGAGGATGCATCCAAAAGTTTTCATGCAAAGACCATGAAGCAGAAGTGCACAGTGAGCATGCAGAGGTAAAAAGATGTTACATTGAAGTCTCTATGCCCGAAAGAGTTAATTGTACCTTGCATTCATCTACTACGATAGAATTGTTAGCAGCAGAAGATTGTGCAGTTGTGCTAGTGGTAGCGGTTAAGACGCACTGGTTGGAATTGTTTTCGTGATGGTTCTTCATGTCGTCGTAGTAGGACTGGGTCTTTGTCATCATCTCGATGTCATCCGATTTGGCTGCGTGTGCATCCAGCTCCTCCAGCTCGGCCTTGGACATGTGGTACACGATGCCTGCACCGTACGAATCTCCCACCACATTCACCGAAGTCCTGAACCGATCCCTGGAAGATTGGGTATTTACAGTAGTAAAGTTGATGTATTACCCCATATCCACCATAGCAACAGAATCAGAGACCACCTCAACCTCTTTATCTTCTTCTTTACTGCAACCAATACTTAAACTCTTAGCATACCTCCTTTTTATTGGGCAAGACACTTTGCCCATCTTGTATTATAGATTATGTATGTGGCATGGGTGCCTGAGAAATATCACTTATTCCATTAAATTTTTCATAATGATGTACAATTGAACATATCTTCCCCAACAGAAACATTAGCCACCTCAGCCTATTTTCCTCTTCACTAGTATCACTGTCTGAACCCTAATTATACCTTCCCTATACCATATATTTAGCTGTATATATCTGTTTGTACTGATTGATGCTTTTTGTTATTTCACATACAAATGCTTGTGGTGACCTATAAATATCTGCAATTTATAGGTTACCACTTTTTGTTACCTGTTTTTTGGTGACCATCTATCACATTCTTTTGTATTATGTTTTATTTTTACTAGGGAAGCGCCGATACAATACTAGTAGTGTTGTAGTCAAAACCACACTAATTAAGACCAAGACCTGTCTGACAGAGACAAGACCAAGACTTCTAAAGGTCAAGACTGACACAAGACTAAGACCACAGCCCATCGAGACCAAATCGAGACCATCTTTGTCATTTTCTACATTTATTTATATTTTACAGTTATTTTAGTGCATATATATCAATGCTTTTCTAAATCGATTTCCATCTGAACTGATTAATGTTAATTTAGGCTTAAAATGAGCCAAGCAAACTCTGCACCCCCTTTTTGGACCCCCACTCACAGTTTGAGAACCTCTTCTTTAATCCAAGTTCATAACATTTACAGTTACATTATCTTACTGGTTTTGCTGTGATATTAACAGTCTCTGCATATTTACCGGCCGTAAGACCTCGAGTCCAAGACAAGACCGAGACCAAATGCGCTCAAGTCCGAGACGAGACCAAGATCATAAAAAAGCAGTCTTGGGGCCGGTTTCAAGACTAATACCAGTCTTGAGTACTACGACACTAAATACTAGTTTCCGATATCGGTGCTGATACTGAAAACAATTGCTGGATCTGATATCGGCTTCCAGAAAGGTTCAATACACAATTATGTAACAGGACTATTTATTATAGTCGTAGTCGGCTTAGACAGTCTCACACTATTTAATTTTTATGTACACAAAGCTGTTCTGAGGGATAAATAACAACTACATAACACATTGGGATCAGTTGTATCTGATTTTATTATAGTTTTAGATCTCAGTCTCTACACTGGTGCTATAGGTTAGGAATCAGTATTGGAGTGAAAATAAATAAATCTAGACCTAATCTTCCTGCCACTCAAACTTTTATCCAACAAACTTCACATCTCACCTCACCCACTTATCTGTGTCTACATAAGTCTCCTCCTGTAATAAGGTGGGCAGAAAGTGTGGAGATAATGGGTGAACTTACAGCAGCCAGTCGACCGCCACGAGGAGACTGATGTCCTGAGTTGGCAGCCCCACAGCGGTCAGAATCAGCAGCATAGTCACCAGACCGGCACTGGGGATACTGGCCGCTCCCACACTGGCCAACGTAGCTGTCAGACTGCAGAGACACACAAGCACTCGGTCACATTCATTACAGGCACTACACTTAATCACACCCCCTCCATGCTCCAGCTCAAAGTGACCACTTGACCATAAAAATAGCTGTAGCCTGCAGTCATAGACATTGATTTGAGATGATTCATACGGCTCAAGCGCACTGGAGTAGGCCCTTACTCTCCTAAATATGTTCAAGATGTAAGAAATGGGACGTCTTTATCAACGGAAATAGATTTGTTGAAATGTCAAGTAGCAGGTCATCCATTTTTTTATGTTTTATTCAAATATAGGGGTGGGGAGAGGCATAATTTCCACAAAACGAGGTGAGATACAAGGTCGAGTTCAGGAGATAACACAAGATTTTAAGATAAATAATATGAGTTTCTAGTTTTTAGTTTCCAATTTTGGTTTCACAATGTTTTATTCATATTATTTCATACCTTAGTGCTGCTTTTTTTCCCTATTCCAATTCTAAAAACATGGGGGAAAAAATGTCACAGGTAATAATTTTCCTCATGTGTGCACGATCTTGTGGCAGTTTTGTCTCACAAGATCTTGTCCCATCCCTACTGGCATATATGCCTTTACAGCAAATGCTTTATATAGTATTTTCATGCATCAAAATAGTCATAATATAGCAAACAGTACTTCAAAATAGCGTGTAGAGGTAACAGGGGAAAAAAGAGGTTGAGAACTGATTTCTAGTGCTTCAAATGAAATATCGAGGCTACAACCACATGACAACGCTCTTGGATTTATTTTATTATTTTTTTATTTTTTTTTTTGCAGGTTGAAAAAAATTGCATCTCGCGTGTTGGATCAATAAATATTCACGTCCACACAACAACAGAGCACTGAGTGAAAACGATGTAATACATATGCCACACCTGTATGTGGTGCTGTAAACAGGACACAGCCAGAGCCAACACTACAAAGAGAGCATGCGCATAAAGTCCTTTCACTTCCGCAACAAATAAACACTGTATAGTGCAACTACGTCATACTATGTAGTAGATTAAGAGATTTTGACACAACAGTGCAAATAAACTTAGGAGCGTCTACAGCACAAACTCAGCTACGTTGTCCACCATGGTTGCTGTTATCATTGTTACTGATTGTTGCACATGGTTCTCTTCTGGTCACGTCATCATTTTCCAAAAGCTGCGGTTTGCTTGTCCACACGACAACACAATGCCGGCGTTCTCAGATTTCTCCACTCTGAAACCCATTTTCAAAAAACACCATTTTCACCCACCCGAAACGCCGACTCCGTGTGGACGAAAGGCCAAAACGAATAAAAACCTTTCAAGAATGTTTCGATCAAAAACCGTTAGAGTGTGGACTCCACCTCGTTTTTTCTTTTTCTTTCTGTATAACATAACTTGTCTTGTGGATATTTGGGCTTTATACTGCAGAATTCAGAATGTCCACTATATTTTTAATGAGTTTGGATCCTATAACCAGTGAGTGAGTACAGCCTTTGTGTCTTTGGGAAAAGCATTTCACCCAGCAAGTATGATGTTGTTGTAAACATGGGAACCTGAGAATTTTAGTACTGGACCATTTCAGTTATGACCTATTCCATGCAGCCTTACATAAAAACATTTGAACACCCAAGATTCAAAATGTTTTCTTACCTGACAGTTACAATCTGACCGGGGTCCAGATGAACTCCATTCATCTGAGCAATAAAGATGGCCGCCACAGCTTCATACAGAGCAGTGCCGTCCATGTTGATGGTAGCACCCACGGGCAGCACGAAACGGGTGACTCTTTTGTCAATGCCCAAGTTCTCCTCCAGGCAACGGAAGGTCACAGGTAGCGTACCAGCACTAGAGTCATAAAAAGGATTGACAGTTATAGCTTCTAAATATGCGCATAGTCATTATATGTTAATTATTCCGATGTTGACCTGGAAGCTGTGCCCAGAGCAGTGATCCAGGCTTGGAAAATTCCCAAGAAAAAGGTGAAGGGGTTTTTCCTGACAATGACGAAGTAGATGCTGGGGAGGAAGATGGCTCCGTGGATGATGAGTCCAATGATGACAGTGATCATGTACATGCCCAGCTGTCTGGCTACCACCTCCAAGTCTTTAATAGAGATGATCTTACCACAGATCAGACAGGCAATACCAAATGGGGAGTACCTGGCAAAAGAAGTAGTCAAGTTAACTTTGATACATGCACATTTTATCCAGTGCATTACAAGAGAGATTCAGGACTCAGGGATCGCCAATATGGGGAAAAACTGCAGATCAGGAGAGAAAATACCAAAGTAATATTGAAATTATGACATAATTTTAAGGTTAAAGGCAATTTTTAAGTTAAGTTATACAGTTATTCAGATTTTTTTTTATTGTATCCATTTATTCCATTTATTTGCACCAGTGACAGTACCAATTTTTTTCCCATGTGCAGTAATTGAGCAAAGTTTGTTTAGCTCTCGTGGCCAAAAGAAGACTGCTTGGTGCTGTCTGCTGTCTAGAAAGCATTTTAGGCTCCAAGAAACAGCACATCCACTGTTACTATGCTTGTTTTTAATAAAAAAAAAAAAAAAAAAAAAAAAACTCATTAAGGAGCACAGTTATGACACCAGGATGCATTAAGGAAGCAAGGAATCAGTACTGACTAGTGATGTAACAATAACCCGAAATATCATGATATCGTCAAAGTTCTCACAATAATATCGTGGACCATCACAATATATTGAATTACAAATCTTTTTGATTAAATGAAGAGTTATGGTGCAGTAATAGCTAAAAAAAAAAAGACAAAGGGAACTACATAGACCATGATCCTTTGCTCCATTTCAGTGCAGACTACATAAAAAAAATAACAGTTCTAAGCACTTTTAAGTCTTAGTTCTTTGTATTAAGTCTTTTCAAGGCATTTTAAGAGGAAAAAGTAGCAGATTAATAGTTTTGTTAGCCTCCAGAAAAAATTGCAAAAGTACTGTGAGATGTATATCATGAAAATATCGTACAGAAAATTTTTTATATTGTTACATCCCTAATCGTGAGCCTCCGCACCATATCATGAGCTTTCCCACGATATCGCAATAAATATCGTACCGTGAGGTTCGTACCGTGACGATATCGTATCAAGAGATTTGGATATCGTTACACCCCTAGGAACGACCACTGTAAAGCTTTTCAAATTAACTAGCTCTGTATTTCACACTATGAAGACAGTAAAAATCAGGTACAGCGCTTTAAAATATTGGAAAAATTGCTGTCTTTACTCATGATTCTAATATCGAAATAACCTATAGTTATTTCCACTTGAATGGGTTTCCGAAATGGCTTCAATGAGATTTGGTTTTGTGATACTAACCACATGATCATGATGACAAGTTTCATCACAATCTCATTGAGGATGTTGAAGAAGTCAATCATGAGTCTGGCCCTCTCGCCCATCTTGCCCATGCAGATGCCAAATGCAATAAAGAAACCAATCAGCCCTGGGACATAAGATGAAATTAGTGAAACTCATGTGGGATGAGCAAAGCCAAGCCAAGCATGACAGGTTTTACTATCGGGGAAATTGGCAAGCTCACATCTGCAACAGCTGTGTTTGCCAAGAAAATGAAATCTGAAACTGATTGTGGCTACCTAGAACGTTCATTCCACTCTTGAACTGTAGAGACTTTTTGATGATGTACTGAGGTTCTTTGGTGACATTGGCCACCAGTCCGTCCATCGTGGTGACGTTGATTACCTCTGGCTCAATTTCGATCTTCTTGGTGACTGTTTGGATCTGTAAGGAAGTAAGATATTAATGACATATAAATAAAAAAAGAGCTTCTATGAGTTTTTAATTGGGGTTTAATGGATCGTCATTAGCTTACTCTGAGTGATTCATGTATGTCTAAGCAATTCTGTGTTATCTTCCATTTGAAGCACCAAGATGAAGATGACAGCTGACCAATTACTACTATTGCGTTAGTTTAAATCAATATTACAGTTTTAAATGAACAAAATGCGTGTTTTTTCAGATTCAATAATGTCATATTGCCAGAGGGGAGACAAGAGGCAGTTTTCCCTATTAATTATGTCATACTTTAATTTCTATTACTGACTGTATCCAAAACTCCCAAAACTTGCTGTATTGCAACAAAAATCTGCATTTGAACAATATCAATTTTAGCTGCTCCCATTTGTATTAAATATCATTGCCCGATAGAATGTGGTGTTGTCTTCAAAAACCCAGTACTAGAACAAAAGCAAACTGTCTTCTTTAACATGTGCACTTTCGTTTCTTGTAATCAGTCATGTTTTACCTGTTGGAAACAAGCTTGCACAAGATTTTCAGGGAACAGGTTTCTGATGAGATCGAAGGCAGCATCCAGACTGGACACGTCATCGTTGATGGTTCCCTCTCCCAGGTTCTCCTTGAGCTTGGGGTCTCCAGGGTGGATCACCAGCACCAGGATGACACCCAGGATAGCAGCAATGATAGTGGTGCTCATGTAGTACACCATGGCTCTTGTGCCAAGGCGACCACTAGATTTGGCATCCAGACCAGCCAGACCTGAAATCCACAATGATCCACTTTATGATGGTAATAAAATTAGGCCTTTTTTTCTATACTGAAATGACATTACCAGATTAGCCTAATCTTGTAAGCAAAACTCTCAGTCAAGTCCCATCAAGCAAATTACCTCCTTTTCGGCAATCAATCAAAACATTTCTCATAATGGAAGAAATACACCAAGTACTTTCATTTGCATAATGGTTGCATAATGTCACTCAATTACGCATTCATTTCTTTTTCTATTGGTACATTTCAATAAATTCTATAAAATTTAGAAAAAGCTAGACATAATAAGAAAAGATATCATACATACTACTTTTGTTTTACCTGTGATTAAACTAGAAATGATGAGGGGCAGGATCAACATCTTGAGCATCCTCATGAGGATGTCTCCAGGAAACGCGATCACCATGATGATGTCCGGGTGAATGGGAGAGGCCACTCGGAGCAACATCCCTGATACAGCTCCCAAGATCACACCTACAATATGGAACAGAGATGTAATAGTGTACAATTATTACAGAAACAAAGTATTAAAAATATACAAGCTCCCACCATGCTAAAAATAGTCTTCAGTAGTTTTCAGTGTTCTAAATTACAAACTTCAGAAACTGCAATTACGTAGTCTTTTTTGCAATTTTTAGAGCAAAATCCTAAAATTCTATGCATAGGTTTCAGCTTCCTGTTCATAAGTGCCATTTTGATTACTTTTGACCATACCAATTAACATTTTCAGTTGTTAATTGCTATGGCAGCAGTGCTAATTTCTCATCACGCTGGCTCCTATAGATAGCTTTCTTTCCTCAAAAATACCAGATTTTGCTTGCCTGAACAGCCAGCCTCTTCTACATTCTGTTCAGTCCTTCTGTTCTCAGTCATATATGTAGTTTTTTCCCCTTTTTTACGTGTAAACAGTCATGTTTGTTTTTGACGCAAATCCATCTGTCAATCATGCACTCTGAAATAAGAGAGACAGGATACAGCTCCAGATCCACTCGTCTTTGTAAAGTTGGTGGTAAAGAATTTGCCAGAATTGCACAATCTTGGGATGTTTTTCCTGCAAAGACTCTCAGTATTAGAGTTCTTGAGAGTCTGTTCCACACTGGAGGAGTATGGATCGTTGGGGAGATAAAAGGGAAACAACCTGCTGTGACAGAGTAAAGCTGAAGGAGGATTAAGATCTGATCTTTTGAAGCACCAGGGAGGAGACTGCATGTCAGACTTCCATGTGCTTGTGTATCTTTTAAACTGCTTCTAATATATTTTGTTCTTCACAGACACTTTCAGATGTGATCAAGGCCACACTTTGTAACCCTATGAAGCCCTTTTTGTCCCTTTTCTTCCATGTTTAAAATCTATTTTGAACCTCAGTCCTTCGTCATCTCAAAGGAAGGAATGACCTCTTTGTGATCTAACCCTTCTCCCTCTGTCCCAGCAGTCATTCTCTGAGAGTTCGCCAATAAAACGCCAGATCAAACTCAACTCTGCCCCCCTGATGGTTGAACTTCCTTTGCTTCCACTAACCACAGCCAAATACCACAAAGATGATTAACAACTAACAATCATACTAATGTCTAACAAAATTGTCCTAAGGGGCTTGATCTCTCCTCTAGTCTTCAGCGATATCCCAGGATGCAATTTGGACTACTTTCCCAAGACTCATTTTGGCTCATTTGCGATTCAAGCCCTGATTTGCCAAGTAACAGTGGATCAATGATAGTGCTGGTTCAGACTGCCAATTGGGGCGAGATGTACACACAATTACACATGCGAGCAAGGCTGCTGTAGACAGACTGGATTAGACTGTATATATTGGCAGATAAGATGCTGTAGAGTAGACCATATGTTAAAAATGTCTGAACATTATCTACGAAATGACGCTGTCTGATATAAAATGAAATATGTAGTCTTTTCTGCTGGTCATTAAAGCTCTTTCTGCGATAAAGTGCAGCAATTACAGAACCGTATGGCTTCTTAGGCTTCGTTTATATGATGACGGTCTGAACTGAAGACACAAAAGTGGCGTCGCGTTTTCAGGAAGAAATCTGCGTGCATACGGTGACGCAAATGTGTGTGGAATTCGATTGGGTATGGATGCCAGGCAGCTAGGTGGTGACGCTATGTGGTGACGAAAAAGAGTACGTGAGCAGATCTGACTAGAGTTTTGCATCTTGCAACTTGGACGCTACAGTGGAGTGTATTCCTGGTTTTAGATAACATTTTTGGTGGATCCAGTATCAGTTTCCAAGATATTGGTTCAGCCGATATTCCATTTTAGTCTATAAACTGGTGAACTGGGCACTAAAGTGGTAAAGTATATGTATATAAGGGCGTGTTTACACGAGAACACTTGTGGGTAAAAACGACAAAATATTTTATCGGAAGAGCATTTCGTTGAGACCATGATGGCGTTTTTGAGGCTTAAAAATGAAAAAATCTGAAACCACGCTCCAGAGTGGAAAAGTTGAATAGTATCATATTGGTGCATTCCTTTTGGAAGATATGCAAAGAGGAATATCCACAGAAATCAAGGAATTCTTTTTTTCTCTAAATCCAAACCAGTCACTTCATCTGTCCAAAATTGTAATTTCTTTATTTGGCAGATTTTTTTTCCCATAAACTAGATTTTCCCATAAACTACGTTTCAATCTCTACCATTTGTTTTGTTTTCTTACACTTGGTCTGTCTGATGCCCCAAGGAAGTTGTGGCTACAGAACTAACTTAATAAGGCGCAATTCCAGGTCCCACAGACGAATGCTGTTGTTCTGTCCTTGGGCAAGACACTCAACCCACCTCACTGCCAATGTCTGCGTACACTAGTGTATGATGAATGTGCTTGTGAATGGGTGAGTAGCTCTTTCATGTAAAGTGCTTTGAGGACTTTGAAGGTGAAAAAGTGCTATATAAAAACGTGTCTATTTACCATTCTTACCATGAAAGAATATGATAGCATAATTCCAGATTCTACTTTTTTGAGATTTGGTATGATTCAGCCACAAATCAACCGACCAACATTAACTCTGTCGTATGTGGATGTAGTGAGGAGATGCAGGGTACTGACCGAGCACTGTGAGTGTGAGCAGAAGGTTCTTGGCCATCTTGGAACATAGTAGAGCACATTTGGACTGGGGCCTGGCCTCGATGGGCTCCAGGTGGCTCTCGTGCATCCTCACCTCCACTTGTTTAGGCATACTGTTGGCACTGGAAGAAAAAAAAAAAAGACAAGTCAGATTTATAGGCATTTCAGAGGGTTCAATTGTAACTGAAATAATTGTAATTGAATGCATGTTTGAGTGAATGAATAAATAGACGAGTGATGTTATTTTGAGGAGTTCTGACCTCAAATTCCTATGTTTCAGCTGCTTTTTTAGAGTTTTCTGTGCGGTATTTTTAAGTTCAGCTCACAGACAGATAAAAAAATATCTCTATCTATATATATATATATATATATATATATATATATATATATATATATATATATATATATATATATATTTTATTTTTTTATTTTAAGTGTAGGCACATTAAAATTACAGTGTTTAAACAAGAATGTAAAAAAAAGTTGGAAGGGGATCATACAAAAAAAAAGATGAGTTTAAAATCTGTCAAGACGGCCTCTCACTGTCTGTGCTAACTGTTATTGCCAACAGATGGAGGCTGATGACAAGATGGTGAATAGAAAAGTGAACACTCGTCTGAAGAACACATCAAACATACAGCATCTTTCTGCAGTCAGTTTACAAGACTAATCCCTCAGGACTGGTCCCAGGGAGAAAAGGTTTGAGAGGTAGTCATCTGGACACTCCCAGAAACCATTTTGAGTTTGAAATTACTGGTTTGAGACACTAGGTTCTATACCACACTGACTTATTGTTGTGTTTTAAAGCAATGACAATGCATTTAACCAAACTAGCGTTGTTTTACTCACTATTTTGTCTGTCATCTTTGTAAATTTGAGCTGGTAGTCGCTTGGATTTCCAGACAACAATATTTTAATGCAGTAATTGCATCAATAAAATGAATCAGAAATGTTTATTCATGCAGACAAGAACAATGCAAGTGATCAAAAAGGTTCACATGCATCAAAATAAACGTTAAAACCGAAGAAGATACAGCCATAATAATAGAGATAGAGCAATAAAGTGATTTTCATATCTAAACACTTTCTCGTCAACGTCATGAGACTCATCACAGATACACAACCGAAAATTACAGAAAGAAATGGTATGATTGGCCATTATTCGAGACCACCATGCTTTCCCCGCTTGTATAATTCTTGCATTGTGTTGTATTCATACTCCTGACACACAAGTCAAATTGAAATGCACTCGGAGGGGAGCTCAGTCACGCTGCCTAATTAATTACACAAGAAAGCTCTTCCTATTACGAGTCACACAGTGCATTTCCTGTTGTCATTTGGAGGTGTGAATGAGACAGTTATCGGCAGAGGGAACCAGCTGTGCCAGCGTCATGCCACTTACTCACAACACAACCGTGCAGGTGTTCCATACAGCCTTCACCGAGCTACTCCAATTCATCAACAAGTTACGACAATCTATCAAATTATCTCAGCGAGTTTGACAACTTTCTAGCAACAATAGCCAATAGAGATGCTTTAGTGTCCTGCTTAGTTATTATTCATCCACTAGAAAGGAACAGTGGGGATGAAATGGAGTAAAAAGAGTCACTTGAAATAAATCCAGCGTGAACTATGACCTCACCCCTCACAAGTTCAAGTCCTGGAAGCTTTTGAAGTTTGATGCCCTCGTCACTCCCCCTATAGTCTAAGATGAAGTCAAGCTACCGCGGTTATTAATCACAGTTCTGTTTCAAGCTTGTCAAATTCTAAAGAGTGCGAGAGGGTTTTTTGATGTTGTTTTTTGTGTTTTTTTGAGTAGGCGCTAATAATTCCACGTGATCGACCTCAAACGCACATCCCCGTCCCACTCCCCCCCTCTGGCGTGGCTATAGGAGGAAGACCACCTGGTCAGCTTCCAGGCGCACAGATGGAGGCGAGCGGTCTCTTATTAATTTCAAAGTGAAGTGTGAAAAACAGAGCATTGCATTGCATTGGGATCGTGCGCTAAATATAAGACAGGCTCCGCGTCGTTTTTCACTTTTTACAATGTATTCCCATGCCCTGTAAGAGAGATGGTGGTGTTAATTAATTTTTAGCTTCTGGTTCATTATTTTTAGCACAGGAGGAAGATGGAGCAGACAGTGGACATCACGCAGGCTGGATATTGGGCTGTCATGATCTTCCTGTTATAAAGTCTCGCCCAGGCAGAGACGAATGAGACACGGATGTAGTCGTAGATAGAGATGGAAATGAATACAGCATAGAACATATTGTATTTAAAGAGGTTTTATACTGGAAAATATATAGGAAAATATACAGGAGATGGATGCATTCAGTACAGTTAGAGAAATGGCCAATCTATTCATTCATTTTCTTTGACTTAATTCTGTTATAGGAAAACCTCACACTACATAATCCCATAATAATGTCTAATAGGATTACTTATGATTAGCTGGTTTACCGCGCTGCAGGCTATAAACCATAAATCATAATGGGAATATTAAGAAGTCAAATAACAAAATAAACACTTGGCAAAAAAATGAAAAGAGTATAGTGAAATCTAAACTAAAGACAAAATAAAACCTATCTAATTGTAAATTCTGTTCTATAATATACAAGATTTACATGAATTCAGTTGAAAAATGGTATATATGTTGTGTATATTGCTTAATAATAGAATTAGTGATGATCCAACAAAAACTTGCAGGCTCATTTTATACCATGATAAAAGTCTAAAACAATATTACAATTATTTCGCTTTGAAAATGGAAGGTAATTGGAAGAAAGTAATCTTCATAAATGCTGCTTTTACAGTTCAAATGTCAGCATAACGGTTTAATAAATTAAAATAAAATTTCAGATTTACACATTGTGGCATTCTTCATCTTCATTAATGCACATCTGCACTGTACTTACTTCATTTCTGGTGCAGTAGAGGTAAGTCCGATAAACATGAACCGCTCTCAGCACCAGCCTTTGGTATATAAAACTAAATCTTTAGCGAGAAAACAATTAATCCATTCAAAACATAGGGAAAAATGGCAGATGTCAGCAGATACTATCCAGGACCATATATCCTAAATCCAGAGAATGCCAACCATCCAACTCTTCCCAAGAATCCAAGCAGTGCAAGCCCTCGCCAGTCCAACCACAACAACCTGAATTGCCCTGGTGTAGGTCCCACCCCCCTCCCCTGCCTCCTCTGCCCCCACCCCTTGACCACCAGACGTCCTGCAATCCTTCAAATAGATAAATAAATTCTGAAGAGGGAGGGGGGAGCGCGTTATGCAGCGTTATTGTCAAATCCCAGCCCCGTTTGTGAGTGCGGCGGTATGTAATCCTACAGGAGAAGGCCCGGTTCGATAGGGATGAGACTGATGCTGCTAATGGGAGTACAGTGGAGCTTTACGGGAGCAGTGAGCATAGAGGATTTACAGGGCTGAAAGCAGATGTATTGTAAACTGTAGCTTCCGTACAGTTCACGTTATGTCACTGTTGAGGAAGCTTTCATCCTGAGGTGAAATAAGTTACTGGAACAAATATTTTTATGTGGTGATTTCAGGTTACAGCAACTCTTTTTTAAATGCTCACTGACATAAAAGATTGCTCACAAAAATGCAACTCATTCATTCATTCATTTAAGAACACATATTTAACTCAAAATCTTTTGAATAAATGAATAGTTTTACTTAAGGTGCACTGTGTAACTTTTCGGTTTGGGCATCTGTCAGCTGCTTGTTCCATGGATATGTCATTGCTCTGCCTCAAATATTCCACAGTATGGCATTAAACAGCCCCATCTTACATTTACATTCAATGACAAGTGGTTTTATAGCTCAAAAATACCCCCAAAAAACAGGCATTTTGACTGTGAGCGGGGTCACCTCTCCACAGATCTGACCTCTAACTTGGTCTGATTTGGTCTTCAGGTTTAACACGCTTATGTAATAGATAACCCTATGTCCTATCATCATTATTTCATCTTTGCACTGATCTATATACACTGATATACATGTTTTACTATATTTCTATATTTTATTTTTAATTGTACTTATTTAGAATTTATTATTACCATTTATATTCAGCTACTGTGCACAAATAATTTCCCTTGTGGATCAAAAAAGTCTGTCTAAGTCTTACTCTAAACTATATATTTGAGAAGATTTTATAGAAAGTGTATTTATAGAAAAACAGTGAACATAAGCTCTCCACGTAAGCACCCATGTGTCGTATTACTCATTGCTAGACAAATCTGGTGGTGAACTGAAAACGTGGGTACATGTGGTAAACTTTGTGAGCACATTGCACAGTTGGCATCTGTTCACAGTCGTAAAAAAATAAAATAAAAATCCTGGATCCATTTCACGCTACATAACTCCACTGGCAGAAGTAAATTCAAACCAGTTCCTAAAACGCTTAATTTTTGGATTGGTAATTTGGAAACATAAAGTGGTCTAAAGTGGTTTATTCTGCATTCTTCTTTTTTAATGTTCATTTTCTGGTGATTATTTATGTTTTGATTATTATTGTTTGTAATATGATTTTAATGTCTTTCTTATTATGTAAAGTGTGGTCGTATCAACAGAAACGATTACAAAAAATGCTGAAAAAGGAGTGAGAAGAAGAAAAAACAGATTTAATCTCACGCCCATCTTCTAACTTAACATAATGAGCATTCTTTTGAATTCTTCAGACATGTTTCATTAAACCATGACCACTTATTTACATATGAGGGCAATGGGGAAGTGTTATAGCTTGGAATTACTTTGTGTACAATTTGTGCCATACAAATATCTTGCCCTGCCTTTTTAACTTTGCATATCACTCAGTCTTTGTAGTAAACAGGATCAGAAATGACACATGTCAGATGAGGACATAGGTCAGGTTGCTTAACTCTAAATCCTAAATAATGCTCTCGTCTATAGGTAGTGAATGCACCAAACCCAAAAGGCCAGTGATTCATGTGACGATGGTGTCACGCCGATTTCTCCCTCAGTCTCCCAGCAGCATGGGACTCCACATCTCATTCAACTACATCACATTATTTCAATTAGGCAAATGCGTTGGAAAGCTATTTCCTCCTGCACACAAATGACCAACCACAACAAAAGCCAGAGGAATG